CGAAGTGCAGCTGGCCCTTGTAATTGTTCGCGCTGAGCCTGAGCGGCTCTGCTGAAGCCTTCTTCCCGAGCGAGGCGTACGGGAACTCGCCGCCCTCGGAGGGCTGCGCGAGGTCGTTCACCTTGAGCTCCACGTAACCGAGCGAGCGGTCCTACTTCGATGTCAGAACAGTGCAGGGAAGTGTCCAAATGTGGTCTGATCACCTTTGTCAGATGTTGGTAATCCATGCACTCCAGCATCATGGTCTACAGGAGGACGTCACAGGATGAGCGACGCTCGACAAAACGGGAATGCGATGCGTACCTCCTTCAGGGAGTGGACTACATGCGATAATCAGATCGGACAGCCCCGATGTAGGATGCACTGAAGACTCACCAGGAACATAGAGAATCTGGTCCCACTGAGGGTTCAGATCTGTCACACGTTCATGTAAGGGGACAGGACGGCTAGGAAGCCACGCGCTACTTACTGTTGTTGACGACTTCCGTGCGGCCCTGCGTAGTGTTGTTGATCTGCACCCTGACATAGGGATCGCTCTGCACGCAGCATATAAGCACCGGCTACGCATACAAGCCCACGAGCGTCCCCTTACCTTTCCTCCCAGAGTCGCCTCCACATTCCTGCCACAATCTATCAGTCGATGCCCCAAATGGCTGTAGCAGCACACTTACTTGACATCCGTCGCCTTCTGCAGCCACAGACGGACGACTCCAATCGGCGGCACGTACTGGTCCGCACCATGCAAGCTACCCGCCATGTTCAGGGGCTTCCACTCCGCGCTAAGCCTGATGCGCCCGCTGCGGCAGCCGCTGAGCGGCCACCAGTCCCTGCCCGCCTCTTTCTTCGCATTCAGGAGATCATCAAGCCGGATACTCATGTACCCAACAACGGGATCCTTGAGGAACTCGCGATCGTCGACAACCTTGACAGAGATCACAGACGAGTTGCGATCTGAGCACAGGAACTCGGTACTGGACTCCCACACAGGGTTGTTCGTGTGCTTGACGCGGTTGCAAGCATGGATCGCATGCTTGGAGCCGCCCAGGTAGACCTTGGCGAACGGATTGAGATCGTTGGACATGGACTTCGTGTGGTCCAGATCTTTCGCCTGATGCAACGTGAGGCGCGCGATGCCGACCTCTGGAAGAACGTTAAGCGCTGACATAACCTGTGAGCACATTCTACTCACTGGACTCGGGAAGGTCCTCCTGGCCACTTGCGTTGACCTCAGGTTTGAGCACCGGGTAGAATGTCACATCGAAGCGCAGTGTTCCGCGCTCTTTGCCGTCCTTCAGGATAGGAGCCTCAATGCCCTCGGCGGTAGCATCTTCACGCAGTCTGGACATATCGAAGGATGCGCTACCCAAAAGCGTGTTCTTCCGGTGGTCATTGTAGTCAAGGACAGACAGAACGAGAGACTCCGTGAGCGTGTTAACGAGGATGAATTTGCTCTCCGACCAACTCGGGTTTGTCCTATTCGCAAGCCAATCAGTACAGCTGCCGTCGATCGGCAAATGTGTACATACGTGTTATGCTTATATTTGGTGCGTGCGAGCTCTTCACGGCTGTTGATACTAATGCTGACATACGGGTCAGGAGTTCCACCTCCGATCTTAACGCCCTTGATGTTCCTAGCAGATTGCACAGTAACTTGCAATACGCCGATTGCTGTGTCCAGCGGCTCCCCAGAGAGCATTTGCTCGAGATTGAGCGTAAACACGTTCGGATCGTACATCATCGGGCTCAACGTAGCGTGTACCATATCGCGAATGAACGCAGACAGGCCAGGGATCTAATTGGGGCATATGTGTCAGTTACGTACGCGAGAAACAGAGTGTTTGCTTACATTTCCAATGTCAAAGCCAAAGGTTTCACCACCGATGGGCTTCAATACATAGTCAATCACCGGTTTCTCAAGGAACGAGAGGTCCACAAGCTGAACATGCGGGAACGTGGTCATAAGCTTCATTCGTACACGCATATGCCCAGAGAATGTAATATCTTCGAGCAAGATGGGCATCGTGGCGCTGGCCACGCCCTTTCCTACACGCACGGCGAGTACAATCTTCGGGTTGACCTTGTCCTTCTTCTGACGCTCAGTCATATCCGATGTATCGTTCGGCGTGAATGAAAAGCTCCAGTCCATGAGGACAATGTCATCCGCAGTTCGTGGAGACGTCTTCACGCGGTCAATGTGTGGCGCCTTCGTGCCGAGGGTAAACGTAGTCAGGCGGAGGGAGTCCAAGAAGGCAGGGCAGTTCGTAGAGAGAATCTGGTCCACAGACGCAATGATCGTCTGAGAAAGTACAGGTTCGTAGATGAGCCAGAATCGGTCGAGGAACTGGTTCATCCAGTCAGCAGACTCTGCCTCATTATCAAGGCGCGTCTTGACGAGTTCACGCTGAATGTCATCACGCGCACGCTGCCGGAAGCGTCGCATGGAGGTGCTGTAATATGTGTTGCAGAACGCGAGCAAAACGAAGAGCCAGCCCCAGCCAAAGTTGAAGCGTGTGAAGAAGTGCGCCACGACAACAGTCTGCGTGGCATGAGCGAGGAACGCGGCAACGGCAGGTGAGCACTCACCGCTACAATGAGGGCGGCGTTATGGTACCATTCGCCATAGTACTGCTCATGGATGAACTGAGCAAGGATAGCCTTGTCCTTCTCTTCGCCCTCGGACACGACTGGCTCGTCAATGCCTGAGACTGCACGCCAGCCGACCTTGTACCAGTCTGGAATTGGAGGCGCAGGGCCAGCAGGCATCGCGCCGGGCACGTTCGCCTCGGGCGAATGCGGTGGTACAGGAGAGACGGGATTTGCGCCGTCTGGAACATTGTCGACGTCGTGAACTGTAATGGTCGGGATGATATTGCTATTGCCAGTGTCGACTGCGACCTCTGAAATGCGGGAGCAACATGATGAGACATAAGCGCCACGGGCGGCCGCCGTGCCAGAACGACGTGCGCACCTTTGCCACTCGGGCCAGCATCTGCCTTAGGGCCCTTGAGTTTGTCCTTGCCCGCACCTGCAGCAGCAGCCTTCTCCTCTGGAGATGCGTTGGGATCGAATGTGTGCACGGCTACGCGGTTCTTGGCAACGTCACTTTCGACAATACCATTTAGTTGGGCCTGGGCGTCGGGAGGGGGCGCGCTCCCGTTGACTGTCGCCATGATGGGGATGAGGCAACGGGGGAGAGTGGTAGAAAGATACTAAGGTGTGGGGGTAAGCTTCGGGAAATGAACGTGGCTTCGTGGTAGGGGAGAGTATAAACAGGAAACGACCAAAGCGAGGATGAGCGCAGCTATTGAGCGACCTCCGCACCCCTCAATCTCGATGACGTTGAGCGCTAGCGCTGAACGCCAGGTCATCGCCCCTCAGCCACCCTCAGCCAGCGCTCCTGGTTCCGCCCCATCCGTCTCGCTCACTCATCTGCTGCGCGACAATAAGCATGTTTAAATCATACAAATGATTTTGCATCGCCATGCACACGGCACGTCACGACCGCATCTGCTAACACTCACAAAAAATCTCCTGTGCGCACGACAAAAACGACGACGCGGAGGCAGCTCGACCGAGGCCGGGGTCCTAGCTACCTTGTGCGCCGCAAAGACGACCGGACCGATGAAGAGGAGGTGCCTTGGGGTGTCCTATGTCAGAGGCTTGTTGTTCCCTCAGTCTGTCAAGGCTCTCTTCGGAGACGGATGATTCGGAACAAGTTCCTCTCCGATCGTGTTCTGTCTCCATTCGACTACTTGACGTAGCCGTCCGCGCTCATCCCCTCACCGCGACTGGATAGCCACTTCTCTCTCCAAATCTTCCTCGCTTGCGGTGGAGATTTTGGCCCAAAAATGACCATGTATTGGACTAGGTTGGACCTCTCCGTCCAACAAACTTGTTGGGGCGAGTGGCTGCTCTCCGCCTCTCCATGAGCATCACTATAACCTCCAGGGTATAGTCTTGTATTCCCGCGTACATCGGCGATATCACTTTCAGGTACGCCGTCCCACCACGGGCCTATGATCAAGCTGTTCTTTTCAAGGTACACGTCGACTTCTCCTTCGTCAGAGCTCCTCAATTTGACTATCGTCCCAAAGCCTCCGCAAACTCGTCATGGCTGCCTTTTGCGCAAAAGTCTCCCACATTCATGTGATAGTTGCCCCTGCCTCGTGCTCGGGAACGAGGCGCTCCCGCCGTAGTTCGTTCCCGCGTGGCATGGCCACACTCGCAGCCGCAGCATTTTCCGCACCGCCGACCATTACGCAGCTCGGCTCAGTCCGATACTGTGCATACGGAGTCGAATCTTGGCAGCGGCGGCGATGTCAGTTTTCACGACGACTTTGCCTCACTCTCACAACGCATGGCCGTGAATATGGCTCGCCGTCAATCGGACAATGCGATATTCTTCTGCTCACCATGCGGACGCGTGGGTTCTATCTTGCATTTTTGCGGCGTCAAACCCTTTCAAAGGCAGGGTCTTTTCAGAATAGGATGGCAACATTCAATTTGAGGCGGTATCGACGGCCATGGGATCTGACTGGAAAACATATCCCCCTGATGGTGCCATCTCATGCCCGCAACGGTGGTTCTGTCCACTGGCCGGCGAGGCTTGGCCTCAAAACTTATCTCCTTCTGTCCTTCGATGCGCTGTGAACGTGTACCGTGGCGTTCTGTGGCGGCGGTCTAGGTATCCGATCCTTCGTCCACTTCCCCACTAGAATCGATTTGGTGAGTGCGCAAACACTGCCCTGCAATGCACGTGTGCACTAAAATATCACTAATTTTTCAAGCAACCTACATTGAGTGTCCGCGCTCACAGGCATTCTTACAAATGCTGATTCTTCCGTACCTCGAACCGAGTAATGTCCACGACATCTTCCAGCATGGACCGACCCCGCACCCTCAGGCTCTCGATCCGACCTCACCCAGGCCCTCACCACCGCTCCCGCTCCTCCGTCGGGCCGGCCCCGCGCCGTAGACGGCAGCGACGCCACCGAGGACATGCCCGCCTAGCTCAATCGGATAGAGCGTCAGACTCTTACCGTTCATTCGACGGTGTGCTGTTCGACAGGCGGGTGTGATCTGAAGGCTGCGAGTTCGACCCTCGCGGTGGGCTAGTCGTTTTGCTGTGCCGTGCGACGGCGAGCACTGGTGTGTTTTATTTTCCCCCGAAATGCCGTGCGCGCCGCCGATCGCGACTTGGTGTGGCCCGACGACACCTTCCTTTTCCGGTATAGAGAAGCGCCGGGTGTTCGGTCTGAACAGCCTGAGCATATTTCGTCTTCGTCTCCACTCTCACTGTAGCTCACGTTCTTCCATGCTAACGGCTTGCACAGCAGTTGCAGGAGAATTGACTGCGCACTATGGTGTAGCGCACAAATTGTGAACGAGGTTCGGCCTATTCGCAATATTTCTCCCGCCACAACATGGCACGGAAGACATTCCAAAAATCGCCCGCCTAGCTCAATCGGATAGAGCGTCAGACTCTTACTAGCGGGTGATCTGAAGGCTGCGAGTTCGACCCTCGCGGTGGGCTAGCTGTTTTGCCGTACTCAAGGAAGAGCGGTCGAGCTTGTTTTTTGCTCGGGAGAGTGGTGCTTCCGACGCTGTCCGGATAAGGCAAGTACGCCGATCACTCTTCGCACCGTGGGCGTCGACGTGTATACCAGGAGCATGCACGGTGATTTGACCATCGGAATTGCTGCATTGAGAACGAAATGCTCACAGGGACATAGTGCGACGTTATCCGACATGTCTTGCGGTTATTTACGATGTGCCCACAAAGGTGCTCACAGTTAACGGTGTGCTCAACGTTAACTCATAGACAGCTCTCGGATGCCCATTAAGGGGCTGCTCTGTTCTCATTGCGTCAATACGCAAACTGGTGCCAACAAACGCATCGTTGGTCCACTGGCCAACGCCCACGGCATTGGCGAGTCTTCGTCAGCTCAGACTCAACCCACGCTGAGGTCTTCTCATCCATTTAGCCGTGACATATCATGGACGTTGGATAGCTGTGGACAAGTACGTCCAGGAATACATCTCTAGCAAGCATTCGATGGGTCACCCAACTTCGTCGAATTCACTCCTGGCCGACGTCGGGATATGCGCCGGCGTGTGCTTAACCGCATCGCCCGCCTAGCTCAATCGGATAGAGCGTCAGACTCTTACTAGCGGGTGATCTGAAGGCTGCGAGTTCGACCCTCGCGGTGGGCTAGTCGTTTTGCGCGGGGGAAGAACGGGCAAAGAAAATTGAGGACATTCAACTTTTTGCCGCGAAGATTCGACGGGCGCTAACTGAGTACATCTGCGACACAGCCGCAGAGGCGCACCTCGTTGCAGGCAACGGGTGCAAGCTTCTGCCAAGTTATAGCAAATCCGCGATACGTTCTATGCTCAATAAACTCAAGTTACTTTGCGCCCACTCGGTCTGCCTACCGATGATCCCGAATGTATCGGGGCGGGTGCGCGACCGGTGCGCGCCGCTTGCAGCCACAGCCCATGCGACATAGCCATCGTTAAGCAACTATGCAGAGTGCCCGCCTAGCTCAATCGGATAGAGCGTCAGACTCTTACGACTAGGCGATCTGAAGGCTGCGAGTTCGACCCTCGCGGTGGGCTAGTGTTTTTGCCTAATGTTCGCCCAGGACGCGCGGCTTTGATTGAGGCACACGCTGTCATCCGCGATCACAGATCGTGATTGGCGCCAATGGCAAGGGGTGGCCGCTGCTCTCTACTTTCCAATCGCTGAGCTTTCCGGTCCCTTGCCCACATGCTCATGCTTTCCATCTCCAACTCATCTCCATTTCTGTCGCATACGATCATGCAATCAATGCTGTGTCTGTTTGATGCCACGGCGGGGACAGAGCCTATTGGCTTCTCACCTCCGATAAGTTCGAGTCATAGCACTTGTCACTCGTGGGCCCGCCCCCGCACTGTTATCAAGTTTGACGTGCGCTACGCGCCGGAGATGATCCCAACGCCCGTACATAAACACGCAAGCTTCATGATCGCGACGCGCGTCCTGGTCTAACCACCACCACCATGGGTGCACTACGACCGGTGGGAGAACTCGTCTCCTCGCTCCAAGTCGTCTTCAGCCCGGATGTGCTCCGAGCGCAAAACGCGGAAGCGCACGCCTTTCTGAAACAGCCGGAGTGAGTGCCACGACCTCACGACGCATCGCAGCAGCTAACCAGTGACACGAAGGGTCTGGAGGGACTCTCTCTATGTTCCAGCTGGCGCGGCCGCGCTTTCTGCTGCACTCTTGCTCCTGCACGTCGCGTTCCATTCGAAACCTGCCAAGATCTTGCGTTCCAAATTGTCCGCGTCGCACACTATTTCTTCTGATGACGCAAGCTCCGACACCGTCGTCGCATCCGGAGTTGACGAACGGTCTCGTATTCGGAGGCATGTGGACGATCTCGGCGGACCTACGATCTTCGCGTTCCGCCTTGCTCGTTTACTCTCGGTTGTAGCGCTTCTTGCTCTCTCTGCCGTCACGGTGATATCATCCGGAATCCGGAAAGCACACTCCGGAGCCTCCACTCAAAGTGTGTGGTTTAGTGTCAGCCTTTGCGGGGTATACGTAAGTGCGAGCAGACGCGTTGCTGGCTGATACTTAACATTTGGTCCCAGGTGCTTGCACTGCTCTTGTCCATTGCGACCATAGCTGGAGGCCAACGGACTCGGACAATTGCTTGCCGACACCTTGCAACGTTGCTGGCAATAACATGGGGCGTGTATATGTACAGGGACGTCTGGCCTCTCGCAACCTACACGCTCTCCCCGTTCGACGCAAGCGAAGGATGGGTGCTTTGGGTGAAAGTCGCCCTTCTGACAATAGCAGGTGTTATCATCCCCATGACTGCTCCGCGGCAGTATATTCCGCTGGACCCTAAGGTGGATCTTCTCGTTATACAGCGGCGTTATGCTTATACGACCTTCGTTAGGATCCACAAGAGCCGAGCCCGGAGCAAACTGCATCTCTTATATCTTTGATGGTCTATTTCTGGTTGGACCCCATCATTTGGAAGGCGTATAAGACGCCTCATTTGAAGCTAGAAGAACTCCCTCCCAATGCAGATTACGACCTAGTCAAGTCACTCATCAAGAAGAGTTACCCTGTGAGTATATGGAATACGCTCTGGCTTTCGTTGCTGAACATTTGCTGCATAGCGACTGGATCCGTTCCAGGCGAAGTCGGGTAGACACATGTTCTGGGGCCTGCTCAGAGTATTTGGTAAGAGTCCTCGATTGGTATTTCAGAATTTGCCTTTGATCCCTCGCCCACAGCCAGAGAATGCGTGATCCTGATTGTCATGATTACAATCAAGGTCCGTTGGATTGCATGACTATGCTGTGTTAAAGCTCACCGGCCTTGTAGGTGCTCATGGGACTAGCGAGCCCCATCGGTATCAGACAGCTCCTTGCGTTAGTATGAAGCATGGTCGAGAAACCCACGTACTGACGCGCTCCATATCAGGTACATGGAAACTGGCGGCCAAGGAGCCACTGTGTATCCGTGGGTCTGGATCGCATGGCTCTTCTTTGGACCCCTCATCGGATCGATAGCTTTCCAGTGGTACATCTTCTACGCTGTACATCACCCTCCTTTGTCTCCTGTCTGTCGAAAAACCTAATGTTCCTCCAATACAGACTAGGGTTTCAGTGCGCATCCAGGCTATCATTACTTCGCTTGTCTTCGACCATGCGCTCCGCATCCGCGTCAAGTCGGACGAGGACAAGTCGACCGGTTCTGTCGTCCCGAGCGCCTCGACCACACCCGACACCGCGTCCGTTGTTGAGTCTACCCTGGACAGCCCGCCAAGCGAAGAGGAGACAGTCCGCGCGAGCAGCGTTGGGGCCGACTCGTCTGGCAAAAATCAGAAAAAAGACGAGAAGCCTGGCGCTGCACCTGAGGGCGAGAAGTCGAAGAACCTCGTCGGAAGGCTGAATAACCTCGTTACGGTTGATACGGAAAAGATCACTAGCGCGAAGGATTTCTGGGTTCTTTGTGAGTGAGACGTGACAACTTGCTTCTAAAGGCTGAATGGGTATTTGCATGAAGTCATCATGGTACCCATACAAACCACTCTTTCAATCTGGTTTCTCTATGACGTGCTTGGTTGGAGGTATGTGAATTAAGTACTCTGCATTTCACTTCCGCTCAGGATTTTTGGCACAAAGCTCGTTTGTGGGACTTGTCACGATGCTGGTGTTGTTCCCAATCCCCGGGTACATCACGAGTCTCACACAGAAAGTCCAACGAGAGAAAATGAAGAGGACCGATGCTCGTACTCAAGTGGTCACTGAGAGTACGTTCTACCCCGTCTCAGCATACCTGATCTCATTGCCGTATAGCCATGAATGTCATTCGCATGATCAAACTCTTCGGCTGGGAGCCTCGAACCGCTGAGCAGATCGGCGAGAAGCGGCAGGATGAGCTTTCTTGGCAGAAGAAGTATCAAATCCTGAACTTGTCTGTGAACATCACGAAGTAGGCAACCTCTCAATGTCTGGATGTTTGGCATACTGATGAACGGGATCAGCTATGTGATTCCTCTGGTGACCATGCTGACTACCTTCTTCACTTATGTACGTTTCTTTCTCACGCATGTTACATCATCGGGCTCTCAGTTTCTTCCGCGTAGACCGTGATCATGAAGCAAGAATTGTCAGGTATGTTTGCTATGATATGGGTTTATCAAATATGACTACAGCGAATATTGGCTAGCTTCGAAGATTTTCTCTTCGATGGCAGGTACGTTGTATGGCTTCTAGTATCTACGGATATGTGATTAACCTTCGGAAGTGTTCGATATGCTTCGGGAGTGCTTGGCGGTAACTACGGGTATCATCCCCTCGATCGTTCAAGGTACACACCTGTGCATTATTGACTCGCGTAGCTGCTAATTTGCAACAATTATCAGCTAAAGTATCCTTGGAGCGCGTGCAAGACTTTTTATACAAGGTTCGCACCTACTCTCTTTGGTAGCTCGCATGCTAACTTCCTCTTGACACAAAGACGGAACTGCTGGATGAATTCGCCGCCATCAAGGAAGGTGAATCTTTCGTTCCCGCTGCGGAGGTTATACCGGGCACCATCGGCATTCG